ATTAGAAACGCATACAAAACTCTGAAAATACAAAGATACATCTCATTGGGTCATGAATAATGGACAGGCCCACTATATATAACACAAGGCTTAACTAACCAGCCCAACTAACAGACTTCAATTACAACATTTTAACCAGAAACGATTACAACTAATCAACTATAATCAACTGCATTATTATACTCTTATATTCTCTGGGTTTTCTAATGATCTGAATTGCCACTTCAACATTTTCCTGGCTTCTTCAGACCTATTTCTCATGGCTGGTACCACTGACTTTTGCCCAAGATTTTACACCAAGCCGAGAGCGCATATTAGTGAATATTGCAGGTGGCAACGACTTGGTGAGTATATCAGCCACATGTTCTGTAGAAGGAACAAAATTGACACTGGGTTGTTCAGCCATAACTCTCTCCCTCACAAAATGAATATCAATTTCTACATGCTTTATACGAGCATGGTGTGTTGGATTTGCTACCATAGAAATTGTAGAGGTGTTATCACACCACACAACTGGCTTTCCAGCTATACTAACTCCAATTTTATCAAGTAGCTGTTCAATCCAAATCAATTCAGAAATAGAATTGGCAAGGCTTCTATACTTTGCTTCTGATGTAGACCTGGATACAACACTTTGCTTCTTGGAGCACCATGCAATTGGATTTCCCCCAAGATATACACAGTAACCTGTCGTGGATCATCTATCTTTCACCGAGGCTGCCCAGTCTGCATCAGTGTAGCAGACTAGACTAAAGTTTCCAGTTTGAGTGAAAAACAAGCCATGCTCAAGTGTACCACTAAGATACCTCAATATGCGTTTTACTGCCCTCCAATGAGTGTCACATAGGCTATTCATGTCCTGAATAACCTTGTTAACAGTATACGATATGTCAGGTCTTGTTAAACATACATATTGCAAACCTCCCACAATGCTTCGATAGAGATGAACATCTCCAAACAACTATCCATCATTTTTATTAAGCTTGGGAATAAGGACCATAGAAGTAGGTGTAGGTGTTGACTCATCTAGATTCGATCTTTTCAACAAATGAGAAATATACTTCTTCTGATTTAAAATCAAGCCTTCTGAGAATGCTCAACTTGCATTCCAAGAAAGAGCTCTAACTGACCCAAGTCTTTGAGTGAGAATTCCTCATTGGTTGCTTGCACTAAGGCATCCACTTCTACTTCCTGGCTTCCTGTGATGACTATATCATCAACATACACCATTAAAAGCACTTGAGAGCATGCTAAATTTATGATAAACAATGAGGAATCAGCTTTTGACACAGTGAAACTGAGACTTCAACCAAAAACTTTCTCAAGGTCTCAAACCATGCTCTAGGAGCTTGTCTAAGCCCATAAAGTACCTTCCTTAAATATCACACCAGCTCCTTCCCATCTTCATTCTTCTGTTTAAAACCCGGAGGCTGACTCATGTAAATTTCCTCAGTTAACTTTCCATTGAGGAACGCATTGTTAATGTCAATCGTCTAAGTGGCCAATCCTTCATCACAACAATAGCCAGAACTGTCCTTATTGTGCTTGCTCGAACAACTGGACTAAATGTCTCAGAGAAGTCTCTCCTCACCATTTGTGAATAACCCTTGGCAACTAGATGAGCCTTAAACCTGTCAGCTGACCTATCAAGTTTCTTCTTCACTTTAAAAAGCCACTTGCAACCCACTGCTTTGCGTGTTGATGGCAGAGGCTTTAACTCCCATGTACCATTCTTTATAAGAACAAAATACTCATTGTGAACTATTTCACACCAGTCAGGATGTTGTAATGCCTCATAGACACTAGCTGGCTCTTGAGGACTTGTCTCGGCAAGCAATATTTTAGGCTTAAAAATGTCAGCCTTCCCATGAGTGACCATGGAATGAGTATTCTGAATTAGCTGTGACAGTGGTGGTGGTGGTGGTGGTGGTGGTGGAGATGATGATGATGGAGATGGAGATGATGGTAGTGATGTAGCAGTTGTGAATGGATGAGATGAAGATGAAACTGATGGTTGTGATGAAGATAAATCATGTGGTGATGAAGTGAATGGATGAGATATTGAAGGTGTAAGAGATGGTAGATTTGAAGGGTTATGTGGTAATGAAGTGGACGGATGAGATGTTACTATTGGAGATGACAACTCTGACACTTGTTCTGGTAATGTGGAAGATGGTGGAACTAACTTGTGACTGTGTATGTTAGTGGAAGAGAGAAAAAAAGGGTAAATCAAACTGTTTTGAGAGCTAATATTTTTGACACTTGAACACTTTTGCTCAATTCTAGTATGATTGTATATCATTGGTGGAGTAGAGGTACTAGGAAGCTTTTGAAGTTGTTGATAAGGGAACTCATTTTCTTCAAAACGAACATGTCTTGACACATAGATTCGACCACTAGAATCTAAGCATTTGTATCCCTTATGAGTAGGAGAATAACCCAAGAAAACACAGGCAGAGGACCAGAACTAAAATTTATGTTGATTATAGGGTCTTAGAAATGGGTAACACATACAACCAAAAATCCTTAAAAAACTATAATCTGGTGTTTTATGAAAAAAAATTCATACGGCGAAATGCCAGCTAATGCCTGTGTAGGTAAACGATTAATAAGGAACACTGTACTAGAGAAAACATCATTCCAAAAACTTAAAGGCATTGTGGCTTGAGCTAACATAGTGAGACCTACCTCAACTATTTGTCGATGCTTCCTTTCTACTAAACCATTATGTTTTGAAGTATGAAGACATGGCATCCTATGCACAATGCCTTGCTCCTTCATGTAGGCTTGAAGAGCACACAACTCACCCCCTCCATCTGACTGAAGCACCTTGAGCTTGACACCAAACTGTCTTTCTACCTATTTATGAAATTGAAGAAAAATAGTTTTAACCTCAGATTTTTGTTTTAAAAAGTAAATCCAAGTATACCTACTATATGCATCAGTGAAGGCAACATAGTATCTAAATCCATTAGAGTACACAGGTGCAAGACCCCATACATCAAACACTACAAGTTCTAAAGGCTGTGTATAAGCAGTGTGTAATTTATAAAAAGGCAGCTTATGTGATTTAGCAAGTTGACATGCTTTGCACAACATTTTTTCTTTATTTATATCAAAAGGAATTACATTGTAGTGTTTTAGTGCAGAAAGTAAAACTTCTTTAGAAGGGTGGCCAAGCCTTTTGTGCCATACATCCATAGACACTCTAGTATTAACAATATGATAGCTTATTAAAGACAAAGAATTATGGCATAATCATTAACATGAACCCTATCACCAATAGGCAGGTAACTGTCACTATCAACAAATTTATTCATGACAACATTGAATTTGTACAGCCCTCCATCTTCACTTCCTTTTAACAGAATTTTCTGAGTATGCAGATCACGATCTTGACAAAAGTTAGGATAAAACTCAAACAGAACCTGATTGTCCTGAGTGAATTTAGAAACACACAACATATTTTTAGTGATAATAGAAACATATAGTAATTTATTTAAATGAAACTTATTAGACCTAGCACAGAAAAATGAGTGACTAGTGCTCTGTATTGGTAGAGAACTACTATTACCAACAATCACACTACTTGTTCCAGGGTGAGTGTCTTTAACCTGTAAATTGTTAAAGTCTTTAATGATATGGTGTGTTGCTCCAGAATCTGGATACCAAGCATTGTCATCCACAGTTTCAGGTGTAGCTGTATAAGCTTGAGATGTGACATGAGGTTGAGCAGAAGTTGTGGGCTGAGATGGATTTGCAGAAGGAAATGAGGACATATTGTAAGGATTTGAGAAGGCCTGATGATGTACATTAAAAGAAAAGGCATGTGGCTGAAAAACAGGGCCTTGAGGGGCTGTTATCAAAGGTGAAGGAGCATAGTACATGGAATTATAAGGGATGAGGTGTCACTAATCGAATTAGAAGAACTGGCATTAGCTTGAACATTAGAGTAGCCTCTGTTATTGTTATTCTGTGGAGGGCAAGATCATTCATTTTTGTAACTCATGTCAAACCTATAATAGTATATTTCAACAAGGTATCACATTCTGCCACACAATTGACACTGTGGTCTAGAGGTTGAAAAACGCCCTCGGCCTCTACCCCTATTACTGTTATTATTACTGATGTTTTGACCAGCATTCTCAAGAAATTCACTCTTGTTTTGATATTCAGATTGTGACACATTATTAGTGACCACTTGATCATTTGTAGCTTGAGTAGCAACATGAGTACAAGCTGTGACATGATTGAAGGAATGTGACTGTCTAGTGTCAGGATCCAGTAATATAGTGCTAACAGACCTTAAATCTGGAGGAGTGGGAGTAGCAGTTATAACAGTGATAATTGATTCAAATTCAGGTGGCAATCCATTTAAAATAACAGTGATATGTTCATGTTCTGAACTTATCTCTCCACAGCTAGCTAGATTATCACAAACAGACTTGATTTTCATCAAGTAATATCTCATATTGAGCTCTCCCTTCCTCTGAGAATGAAGTATTCTCCTATAGGACATTAATCTAGAAGTAGTCTTACCACTGTATAACCTATGCAATGTACTCCAGATTTCAGCTGCATTATTAAGACCTATGAGATGAGGTAACACTTCCTCACTAACAGTAGAGAATAGCCATGAGGCAAGAGTTCCATCTTGCTCCTCATACAGCTCATACTCAGGATTCAAGCTAACTATACCATCTGAAGTAACATATTGTGTAGGCCAAGAAACATTTGCATCTATATATTTCTGAAGCCTATGTGTTTTAATAGTTAGAAAAACTTGTTGATGCCATATCAAATAATTGTGATCATCTAAAGTGACATTAATCTTCTTAGTAGAGAATAACCTATTAGGAGGAGAAGAGGCAGAACTACCAGTGGCATTTAGAACACTGTCATCGACAAAATTTTGCATTCAGAGCGCAATACAGATAGCAGACAAATTAAAGGATTGCAACTAGAAAAAAGCAAAGAGCTGAATGCAGAAAGCTAACAAATCAAGGAATAAGAATGTTCTCACTAGCTCGAAGATCCACTGAAGAGCATAGACAAAACACCGAATTAATCAAGAACTGAAGAACAACCAGAACAGAGAAGATGTAACAAATCAATCCTGAGAACAAGCACAGACGAAAACCAAATTTGTCAAGAAGCCTAAAGAATTCAACCAATTTTGCATCAGATTGTGATATTAGGGCAAGCAAGGGCACATCAACATAATTGAAGCAGAACGGAAGTAACGAATGCCGAAAGAAATTAGGCGAATCAAGATGCTAATTCAATTGAGAGCAGTAATAGAACAATCTCACCAGAATCACAAGGTAAAACCAAAGAGGATGCGACGAATCAAGAATCCAAATGACGAGCAACCGTAGAGAAATCAATGAGGAGGCAAGAAAAGCACGCAAAACGGAAGACAAAAGGCCGCAGGAATTTAGGTGAATGATATCATGACAGTAAATGAAGAGAAGATTAGCTATGATAAACTGGAAAGGAAAATGAGAATCAAAACAAAATGAAGAAGACAGTGTTTGCTGAAGTTAACTGAATATTAGAAACGCATACAAAACTCTAAAAATACAAAGATACATCTCATTGGGTCATGAATAGTGGACATGCCCACTATATATAACACAAGGCTTAACTGACCAGCCCAACTAACAGACTTCAGTTACAACAAATTAACCAGAAATTGTTACAGCTAATCAGCTATAGTCAGTTGCATTATTATACTCTAATACTCATGACTCATGATCATTAAAAAATGATCATTCTCCTCTTCTCTCAAGCTATTCATTACTCCTCGAGTTCAACCCATGAAACTCTCGTTAGACCAAAAAAAAAGGAACCTTTTTAAGCCCTAGGAAATGTGGCAGATTCTAAATTCATTCCACACAAGCAACCCAGAAGGAAAATGCTGAGAAGAAATTGAAAAAAAAACCAACATTGGTTAACAGAAAACAAGACCAAATAAAACAAAGAATTGATAACTATACCAAGAAATAGAAAACAGAACCACAAGTGATCCAGCATGGATCCCAATCAAAAACGATTGAACCTGGTCCTTCTCAACGAAAAAAAAAATTACTATAGAAATGAAAGCTCTTTTACAACAAAAGAGCCCAAATTCATGCAACAAATTAAGGAGACAAAATATTTTTTCAGAACACAGAGATCAAAGCCACACTGAAATATAATAAAGGGTCATTGGTTACACTCGTAGAAATGAAATAAGCCAATACAAAAGGAAGACGTTAAGAAAATACCATTAACCAATGAATCAATGATGAATTAACCAAAGCAAAGATATAACTTTATAATATGATGAAAGGATATAAAACTGGCTTACATGGGATTAGGCTTGTTTCCTATGAGATTCCTTTGAAACTGAAGGTGGCATAGATCGAAGCATCCATTTAAAAATGTTGTTGGAGCATTTTGAATCCCCTCTCTCTCCCCCTGTCCCTCCCTTGGGGAAGCAAAGCGAACACCGTACAAAAATTGAATATAAATAAAATATATTGTTAAACTTATACACAATAATTTATATTTTGTATTAACCAGAAGGTAAGAGTAAAACAGGAAAGAGAATATTATCCTTGATATTCGTTAACAATTGGACCCAAAAACTAGATTTAAAAGGATGTGTTCGTGTAGGGTAGTTCTATTATACATAAACTTTAATATGTGGCTAAGTAAATGTGTTATTGGATTTTTTAATTATTTTTAATATTTCTAATAAAATGTTATTTAAAATATTATTTTTTACTAGAAATATTAATTTTGTTATCTAATTCTCGGTAAAAAATAACATTTTAGATAGAACCTAATATTAACATTTTTGGTGGAAAAATAATATTTTAGGTAGCGCTTTACCGGAAATATTAAACATTTTTTTGGATAAATTTAATTTTATTACCCAAAGTGCATAATTATGCTACATAAAAAATCCCATCATTGGGATAATGAACAACCTACTTACAACAAAATTTTAATGATGTACACCCCAACTATTACAAAGGTAAGTATTTAGACTATCTAATCTATTTATATTCCTTCATCTTAATTGGATGTATACAATCTTCTTAATTGAACTCTGAATTTCATTCTCACTTCTTGTGCTTCCTCGGTACAATCTTATATTTCTTTCCTCCCATGGGGAATATATTAAAGTGCACTAAGCAAGTTTCAAGATAGTAGTGAGGAGGGATTTACATTTTCAAGCACAACTGGCCCAGTCTATCATGCTCGTCCAATGTAAAGTAGGGGTGCTTAAGCCGAAGAGATTCAAGATAGCCTTCCATAAGGAAACTACCATAGAGCATTCACTAAATAGGTGGTCCCTAGTCTATATAGCTTCATTTCAGATTATGCAGGAATCATTGGTAATGATTCCCATTCTTCAGAGCCTCTCCCTAGTTGGTAGCCTATCTAGGAGTGACATCCATGTTATAATGCTATGCTTGGAGACGTGTAGAGGAAACCATATAAATTTATGCCATGAGATTTTATCTCATTTTACCCGTAGTTCTTTCCAGAAATCTTTCGTCTTTGTAGCGCCTGTAGATAAAACAAGGATTACAGCTGCCCTTAGTTTAGGTAAGCGCCTGATACACCAGCTGGAATTTGTTATTTCATCCACTAACAGAAAGTTTGCGCCTTTAATAATGTAGCTTTTGATTCATGCTACCCACAATGATCCATCTCCAGCAAGGATGTTCCTGATGAGTTGTATCGTACATATTTTGTTCCATGTTTTAATATCTTTTAATCTGAGTCCTCTTTTAGATTTCACTAGGCAGATTTTCTGCCAACTGACTCTAGCTCCAGTGGCGGCTTTATCTGTACCTTTCCAGAAAAATCTAGAGAAAAGTTGTTCAATCCTGTTAATAATAGCCTGAGGTAGAATTAACTGTCTGCACCAAAAGTTAGCAATACTGAAGAGAACAACTCTGATAAGTTCTAATCTGTCGGCGTAGCTCAAGTGCTTTCCCAACCAGTGATGTAGCTTGGATTTGATCTTTTCAATAAGAACCACACAGTCCTTTTCAATGAGTTTCCTTGTGACAAAAGGAACCCCTAAGTATCTCACTGGCAAATTGCCATGTTTGAATCATGTGGATTGTAAAATATGCTCAAGATTTCTGAAAGTGATTCCAACAGTATAAAGTTCACATTTGGCAGCATTAAGTTTAAGACCAGACATTTCGTAGAATTGGTCAAGGACGCTGATGACTCCAGAAACTGATTCAATGTTTCCTTTACAGAAGATTAGTAGGTCATCTGTAAAAGAAAGGTGAGTGAGGCCAATCTTCTTATATTTTGGGTGGTATCCGAACAAGCCTTTAGTTGCAGCCATGTTTAGGATTCTAGAAAGCACATTCATTGCAAGAACGAATAAGATAGGTGACAGAGGGTCACCTTGTCTTATTCCCCTTGCACCCTTGAAAAAACCAATCAAGCTTCCATTAAAAGAAATGAAGTATCTTGTTTTTTTAAAGCAGGTTTCATTCCATCCAATAAAAGTATTAGGAAGCTATAAAACCTTAAGCATAACAGAAATGAAACCCCAGTGTAGAGTGTCAAAAGCCTTTTGTAAGTCAACTTTCAAGGCACGTCTAGGAGAGATAAATTTCCTTCCATAATCTCTTATCAATTCTTGAGCAAGTAGAGTGTTGTCAACAATATTTCTTCCTTTTACAAAAGCCGATTGGTTGAGAGATATTATCCCTGGAAGTAGTGTAGTCAACCTTTTGACTAAAATCTTTGTAATTGTCTTGTAAATAACAGAGCAATAGGAAATTGGCCGAAAGTCTCTAACCTTATTGGGGTTAGAAACTTTTGGAATCAAAGCAATGGTTGTAGCATTTAAAGCTAGAAGGATGAAAGTTTCTTGAAAGAAGTATTTAATAGCATTTACAACGCCTTTGCCAACCACTGACCAAGATTTTTTGAAAAAATATGGTGTGAATCCATCAGGACCAGGTGCTTTGTCATTTCCTTGGTTGAAAATTGCTTCTTGGATCTCTTCATCAGTGGCTTCCTTTACAAGGTTATAAGAAACATCAGATGGCAAATTAAATTGCATCAGATCCTTCAAAAGATTAGGCGTACAATTTTTAACCCTGGAGTCCTCTGTACCTAAAAGGCTTGAGTAAAATTTAGCCACTTCGGAAGCCATTTCATCAAAAGATTCAAGCCTTTTACCTTAGTCATTAACAAGAACTCGGATGGTGTCTCTTTTGTTTTTACCTGAGATAATAGAATGGAAGAATTTTGTGCATTTGTCTCCTTCTTTTAACCATTTCACCTTGGCCTTTTGTTTCAAATACTTGAGATCTACTTTTTTCAAGAGATAAAAGGTCATTTTATAGCATCAACTCTTTTGCAATAGTATCCTCTCTGTGTAGAATAGATAGTTGAAGTTGTTCAAGTTTGTTTTTCTTTTGGCGTACTCGAGCAGAAATATCACTATAACATTCTTTGTTTAGGGTCTTGAGGTTTGTTTTTAGTCGTTTAAGCTTGAGGAAAAGAACCTTCATCGGATTTCCTTGAATAGGTGGCTGCCTTGACTGTCGAACTTCATTTAAGAAATTAGGACGAAGAGTCCAGAAGTTGAAAATTTTGAAAGGTTTAGGTCGATATAAACATTTTAGGTTGCACTAAATATTAACATTTCGGTAGAAAAAATAATGTTTTAGGTGTCCTTTACTGGAAATGTTAAAAAAATATTAACATTTTTTGGTAACATCTTTTCTTAGCCGTATATTAAGACTGACGTACCTTAGACATCCTCGTTCGGTATATTATCATTGCGTCTTGTTAATATTCATTTAGTATTATTATTGTGTCTTATTTTAATTATATGGTAAATTACACATGTGACCAATTAATTATGAGAGAATTTTATATTGACTATAGATCTTTTAAATTTTTCAATCAAACAACTTAACTATTTAAATGATGTCAATCAAGTCACTTGTCATTAATATTTGATTAAGAAGTTAATGTAATAGTTAATAAAATTGATATAATTATATATTTAGCCATCATTACTTACATATTATATCAATTACCTATAGTTTTAATCTAATTCAATAAATTTGTTCTTTTAATTAGATTGAAGGAAAATAAATTCAAGAATGGAAGGGTTAAGGAAAATCGAACATAGGTCTTGGCGGGAGATTGGTGTGCCTTTATCACCGAGTCAACTCTCATATTCGGTACATGATTTACAACTTATTCTATATATCTCATATTATAATTAATGTCAGAAAAATAAAAATAAAAGTTACAAAAAGAGAACTCAAATCTACGTCAATTGAGGAGTATGAGAGTACTTAAACCACCGAAACAAATATAATTATTTGTTTATAATTAAATGTATTTTATATATAATTTTTTGATTAATTTGGAGTAAGTATCCATCCAAAGATAATTTTCAATATTTTATATATAATTTTAAAATGTAATTAATGTGAGATTTAAAATAAAAATGATTATCGACCATCCATAGGATTGTTATATAATCAAAACAAGTTCATAGTTCATGCATTCTATGTTGATAATGGATAAAAAGATAAACTTTTGTCAGCACCTCATTTTCTTTTTCTTCCAATTGAATTCCCTTCTCTTGGGATCAAGGTTGATGCAGTTGTACCATGACACAAAACACAGATTATAAAATCGACCGTAGTTAGAGTGACGATAAGGAATATAACTTGTTGACCGGTAAAGTAAACAACAATCATAGAGGGTGATTGGATGGTGATTTTGGTAATGTTGATTTGGTATTTTTAAAGGAGAAGTGTGTAGGTACCCTTACTTTTTGTTGCATGACTATTTATAATGTTTTGGACATGTATTGTGTAACCCTCTAGACCCGGCCTATGCGTTTCGACTAAGTCTAGTGGATCACATACATGATTCTTAAAGATATTTTCTGAAACCGTTATTCAATCATTGTAAAATCACATTATAAATGACATGATATTATACTATCAAAACCCAACTTGTAAATATAATACCAATAAGTAATAAATTAATTTAAAACAGGTCTTCAAAATCAAAATCACAATAAACCAAATAGTAATAGTAAAAGTGTCATCATCTTAAAATATGATACTTTAAAATAAGGTCCATGTCACCAAAATAATGTCAACTAGCAAGATAAAACATTACAATCAGATATACTTCAAGAGATATGTTGATCCTCTAAGTGCTCAAACCGATGTATCTAACCAACAGTATCTGAAAGGGGGGAAAACATTTTCGAAAGGTGAGCTAGGCTCAGTGTGTCCCAACATTACCATAAAATCACCATAGGTACCTCAAACAAATCATAGTCCAGTAAATCTCACAAATTCGTAAAAGAGTTTAACTTTTGAAAATCATAGTTTAAACCCTTTTCTGGTACACCATCAGTAGTTCCCAAAATTATTTTCCATATAGCTTACTTTATGCACATAGCAAAAAGAAAGTCGACTTAAGGATAGGCTATGAAGCTTGTATCCTTAAGCACAAGTCAATAAGTCCATATAGCTTACCCTAAGCACACAGCAAAGGAAAGCCAACCTAATGAAACATCTTGGGGCCCTCAAGAGTCACATTAGGCCCGTTTATTAACTTGATCAGAGCTATACAATTGTAGTTCAATCTATCCCAAAATCAATATCCATATACCAGTCATCAAAGTCCATAAATCATCAACAATAAATCGGTGTACCAACAATAATAAACCATAGATTTCAATGTACCATATTTCAAAACATATAAAACCATTATGTAGTAAACAAGAACACACCTCGATAATGGGTTCAGATAGTAGATCTACTGATTGCTGGTTTCACCACGCTCTGTTACAGTTTTCGAACGGGTGAATACTGGTATACGTGGTTTAACAGATCTAGAAGAGTTGGGTCTAGTTGTCGAACGATCCGGAGAGTCTCTTGTACCTTCAAACAATAATAATCTATCAGTCCCAAATCTTACTTAATTGTTCAAAGCTAGACTTCTTAAGTATATAAGCATTTTCTAGGTTCGATTATCAATTTGGGGTATTTCGAGTCTGAATTTAGCCAAACATATTGTGGAATCGGATCAGGACGTCGATAAACATAAAGTATGACTTTTCAAAAATTCAAATTCTGTCAAAGTCAACCACTTTGACCGTCGATTTAGAGACTTTCGAGTTCGAATTTGGTGAAACGGACCCCAAAAACGGATTCGGGACATCGAAATCAGAGCTATACAATTGTAGTTCAATCTATCCCAAAATCAATATCCACATACCAGTCATCAAAGTCCATAAATCATCAACAATAAATCGGTGTACCAACAATAATAAACCATAGATTTCAATGTACCATATTTCAAAACATATAAAACCATTATGTAGTAAACAAGAACACACCTCGATAATGGGTTCAGATAGTAGATCTACTGATTGCTGGTTTTATCACGCTTTGTTACAGTTTTCGAACGGGTGAATACTGGTATACGTGGTTTAACAGATCTAGAAGAGTTGGGTCGAGCTGTCGAACGATCCGGAGAGTCTCTTGTACCTTCAAACAATAATAATCTATCAGTCCCAAATCTTACTTAATTGTTCAAAGCTAGACTTCTTAAGTATATAAACATTTTCTGGGTTTGATTATCAATTTGGGGTATTTCGAGTCTGAATTTGGCCAAACATATTGTGGAATCGGAATCAGGACGTCGATAAACATAAAGTATGACTTTTCAAAAATTCAAATTCTTTCAAAGTCAAAGTCAACCACTTTGACCATCGATTTAGAGACTTTCGAGTTTGAATTTGGTGAAACGGACCCCAAAAACGGATTCAGGACGTCGAAAACTGTCAGGATAGATATTTTCGGAAAAGATTAACGATCGTTTAATAGCCGGTCAAAGTTCTGGTCAAAGGAGGTCAACAAACTGTCAAACATTTGAAAATTCCCAAAATGTCATTTTTTTAAAAATAATTCCCAGAGTGTCACCTTTTACGAAATAATTCCCAATATGTTACCTTTTTCGAAATATTTCCCATAATGTCACCTTTTTTTCAAAATAATTCCCAAAATGTCACCTTTATCGAAATATTTCCCAGAATATCACCTAACAACAATTATATACCAATCTAGCCATCTTCTTAAAATATTTACTAAACTAACACCCAAACCGGTCAACCACTCTTTTGAAGCTCCCCGGTGTCCTAAAAATTCCCGAAAAATTTCCAAAAATTATTTTAAGCGATTTTGAGATACTTACAAAGCTCGGTTCAAAATTTTGAACGGTGGAGAGCTCGATTTCAACAAATCCAAAACTTTGACCGCTTCACCCCTCCACTCGCCGGCGACGACGGAGAAACGGTGAACACCGGTGGACTCGGAACGATGCAAGGAACACGATGGTGCGGGAGGTGTCGAAAACGGATCAACGATCGGAGATGAATTTATGATTTTCTCGGCGGTGGTGCTAAAAAAACGTCGAGACTTTGACTCGAAATTCACGGCGTTTGGCAGCGTTTCGCTATAATTGGTTTACTGGGCTTTGTTCACGAGTCAAAGATGAACACAATGGTGGTTTCAATTTGACGGTCGGAGGTCGGACGGTGTCGGAATCGGGCTTCAAAGCAGAGGTGCGGGAGGAGAATTTTATGAGTTGGTTTCTGTGTTTTCACGCAGAAACCAATTCGTTTCATTTAATAGAAAAGGTTGCCGACACTTTTTTTTGGGTAAATTCAGGGCTTGGTCCCTGAATTTTCTTCAACTCTAAAACAGGATACAAGTTTTGAAAACTTTCAATTTAGTCCCAAAATTTCACCAATTTACAAAATTATAATTTTTTTTCTTTTCATTTTTTTTCAGGGTTGTTATAATTCTCCCCCTCTACAAGAAATTTCATCCCCGAAATTTACCTTATGAGAATAGTTGAGGAAACTGAGCCTCCATTGACTCCAACGTCTCCCAAGTAGCTTCTGAGGTACCTCGATTACTCCATTGAACTTTGACCATTGGAATACGTCTATTCTGAAGAACTCGCTCATCTCTTTCTATGATTTGAATGGGCTCCTCCTCATATGACAAATCAGGTCTCAGCTCTACTTCCTCAACCTGAATGATGTGACCTGGATCTGGACGGTATCGCCTCAACATTGATACATGAAAGACATCATGAATA